AATGCAAAGACCAGCTTCACATATTTAGCCCGTGCCAGGGCCAAGTAGGGAACTCTGATACCTTGAATCTCCAAATATACTCTTAAGCAAAGGTCCACGCCTCTGCACAGAGGTTTTACAGCAAGTAGAACATTCTAAGAAAAACCATGTACATCAAAACCTGCAGCTTCAGACAGCTTCCTAGGCTTCATTAACTTCCTGTACATTAACAGAATGAAATTCATTGACTCCCAGTATCAATTGCGGAGACTGGTACAAGGAGAACTGTTAAAGGGCTGAGGAAACATGATCCTGCAGGTGCTATTTGGCTACCAGAGAAGAGTGCTAGAGACACTGTCATATGCTTGCATTTTCCTCTGCGAATCACACCAGTTGCACATTGTCTTAAGAAAAGTCACTATATACGCAACAATAATGCATTCAATAGCTGTCATACTTAGTTCAATAATTTGAGTGCTATTCCAGAAAGAATTGTTCACCCTAATCCTTTGTCTTTTGATTTACAGCTTCAAAATCATAACTTGAATACATTATATTGAACATCGTATTTCCTCACTTCCACCATGTTTAAGAACAAGCCCCTGCAGACAAATTGTTTAGCTTCCACTTCTATTATTATAAATATATTAAATGGAATGATTTCAAGTGTTCTGTTCTGGGTGATGAATAATGTTTCATTACATCTCAGTGAAGTTGAGAAAGCTGATAGTGATTTAACCTCATATTTCAGCAATAAATTGGACTGTCTCTGGAATACGTCCGGATGCCCGAACAACTGGGTAATTTATCATACCCCTCACCATTAAAAATTTACTTTAAAAAACACAACTTACAACTTGATCCAAACTTCTGAGCTAGGAATGTACCCTTGAACCTCTACAGAAACCCTTTAAAATATTTCTGGTGTGCTCAGCGTGACAGTTCACTCAACTTCAGCTCAGATTTTGGCTAACCTGGCTCCTGCTAAGGCCTGATGTATGCTGGGAACAGCACCATTAGGTCAAAGTGAGAGCACCACGTATGCAGGACAGGTGGCCAGAAAGACCTAAAGGGCCATTATGCACCATTATCGCCTGCAAATCGCTGTCTCCTGCAGCCGGTATCTTTTGCCTGGCAGTTTCCTCAGAATCTGCTAACTTATGGAAATTATGTAGGCCAAACCTCCAAGCTGTAAGGTATCATCAGCTTACCCAAAAAGCTTTTGAAGCGGATCCAACAGCAGCTGGACTGCTGAGGCTTTCCTGCTTCCCGGTGTGATACAGGGGACACCGGCACAGTGACAGAGGAGGAAGGATGAGCACTCTCACCCTCGGCTAGGTAACTTTTTTTTTTTTTGCTCATAGGTGCCCAAATTAAGAGTTATGGGTTATAAGTTATGAAACTTATGACTTGAACGGTGAATAAGTGAATTCACCTGATAGACTAATCAGGGCAAAAGGGGATTGAGCCCCTGTTTGTCGTGTTTGTTTGTTGTATTTCTTAATGAGCTCATGAAATAAAGTTTATATCGCAGAGTACGTTGTCCTATAAATTTGAGAGATTCAAACGGACCGTGACACTTACAGTGATTAAATTCAGGGTATTCGGGGCAGGAAAAAATAGTTTTGGAGTTCCAAGACAACAAGCCACTGTGGTTGGGTTTTTTGGTTTGTGGGTTGTTTTTTTTTCCTCTTAGAGGAGGATCTGGTGTCAGTGATCTGGCTGTCACAGTTACAAGAATAAATTGGGTGAGAATTCTTATGAGCCAGCCCTATGTGATTTTTTGCTTCCTA